GTATTCAACCAGAAATTTTTTTCAGTGTAAGATTTTAAATTATTTCTTGTTCTCCAATTACTATTTAGAAATTATAGAATTATGAGATGAAACGACTCAAAATGAACTGGAAAAAGATTGATTTTACACTAAATAAAATATAATTACCGTAAAGTTGCTCCGCTGGCGCCCGATGCCTCTCCTGGGCCCCCTCCTCCTCTCGGATTGTCCTCCGGCACACTCGCGAAAACACAAAGATCGTTCGCGCGATTTTACACTCCCGTTTTCTGAAGCCCATGTGAAAGTATGCATTTGGTTCCGTCAAGTTCGCCTCCACTTCGAGTCGACGAGTATTATATCTCAAACACCTGCCAAATCTCAGAAGTGTGGCCATCGACAGGAACGGACATTTAATGAATACTTGCTCCTCAAATGGGCTTTGAAAAGTCTTTAGTTCGATCGTGTAAACGGCACTCCCGAACGCGACGAAAATGGACACTTTACGTTATACGCGCACTTTTTTACGCATAATTGTTCGAGAGATTATTTCTTGGCAAGCGATCGATATGTTATAATTTTTCGGTATATATCATTTTACCCGACGATTCATGTATCACCTTGCACTTTTGATCTAAACGTGACAAATGTTTAAGTTGAACCGACGAAAATTTTAAGGCACAGCGGGAGAGAGATTTATCAGATTCCGATTGTTAAAGAAGGTAGTATCGCTCGTGGATGTATCGAAACTAACAAATAATTTATGTATGTAATTCACTTATCGCACTTTCTCTTCAAATTACGCGTGATCTTTATCTCGACAAATCACCGTAGAGATCAACGATATGATCATGGATCGCGACACTTACTTAAACGCGATTGACAAATATTAATCTCTCTCGTACGAGACGATCGCTTTGCGCAAAAGATAATCGCGTTAGGAGAAGCGACGCGACGACGCGCGGAACGTCCGCCTCGCTCGAGTGAACCACGAAGACTAATTCGGCTCACTAGATTGTTCTCGATCGAGGTGTTAACTGTTAACGACGCGACGTTTTTTTGGAACCGGCGCTCGGCGACCGAATTGTTTACTACGCTCGGTCTATGGAGCTACGTCATTTCTTGGAATTCGTGCTCGGTTTTTGCCGCTCGGTGAAACACGTCACGCCGTACGCAAGGTCATTCACGCGGCGACAATGAACTAGTCTTTTGTGATACGCGTTTTCGACAAGTACGTGAAGAAAATACAATCGCTCTCTGCGAATAATTAGCGACCGATATCATCGCGTGTTCGCTGAATCCTCGCGATTTGCCATCGATGCTCGACCATCGATTCACGTTAAGATCTGTACGTCCGAGAATCAAAGGTAAAACTTGCAATTACTTCTTCGCTGCGATAATTACGGACGATAATTGCTTCTTTAAACGATGCTCATATTTGGATACATCTCATATCATCGCATTGAGTCTCTCGTCGCTTCGAGATAGTATTTGACCGCTCAGTATGCGTACCCAGGGATGACTGTGACAGGTCTAAGACGTTTAGTATGCGTATTATAATTAATAATCGATTATGAGTCTTGATTGTATCGCCGGCAAGAAATAATTTACAATTCTCATGCAAGCCTTTAATTTATAGCAGTCGACGTTTCTTCAATCTGCCTTTGAATTGCTCTACTATTTTCCAGGAATAGCTCCCTGAAGACATTGTAAAAAACTTCTCGCTGAAGAGCAAATAATTTATACATGAAAGCTGCAATATTTTGCGTAAAATAGCACATTCCATCCGATTGTTTCTTCTGTGCATTTTTGAATTTGTTAAAGCTGTGTGTAACAAATGCTTAGCGGTCCATTGGTTTATCCCTTCATTTACTTGCAGCGTTTGTATATTTATTGCAACAATGAGCCATTTGCGATCTTCACCGTAAATTTATTTTTTTTTCAGCACATATGTGTGTTATCGTAGATCCTGGATGATATCTTACGACGTGACTGACATTAAAGCAATAATAAGCGACTCCTGCGCGCACATTTGTACAACAAATTAGTCATTGCTTCGCGGACAAAATTGACTCTTTATAGATACATATGATAACATCAAAGGCCATTGGGCGGGGCTCGTTTGCGCACGTTCATTCGCGGCACCCACGTTCTTCATAACAATTCCTCTTGAGCTCAAGTGCGATCCTTCGACCATTGACAAAGGTGAACCACCGACTAGCGGACTGCAGGGAAACAAGCGAGAGAAAACAGTGAATCGTGTTGGTGTCCGGTCTGACGAAATTATCAGCCACTTACGCAGAGATATCTGGAAATAGATATAACACGTGTAATATTTACTCCATGTTAATCCTGTGCAAATATCAAGAAAGAAAAGAAGCAAGTATGACTAATACTGGAGTCAATACATACGTGTAAGTAATGTTACAACATACATAGAAACTTGGGCGAGTTATCGGTTGACTCTCTATAAAATATTGGGCACCTTCGAGAAAGACGTAAAATTAAATTAACGACTTCGCCCGAGTCTGCGAAACAGTTCTATCTTTAGTGATATTCATGCGAAAATCGACACGAAACTTCAAGAAGATGCGATAGATAGTTATTACTGCTTCTAAATTCAATCTGATTTTGGATAAATCTTCAGACGTTCGAGCAGCTGAAAATTAAAGGAGAAGGTATTTCGTTCAAGTAAATGGCAATCGGAGAATATCGGATAAAGGAAAAGATCTGACGAGATGAAGCTATTTGCGAGGCCTAAGCACTTCTCCGAGGCGACAGCAATGTTGACAACTCTGAGCTGTTTATTGGGACTTCGCGTTTTTGATTATCCACGCGGTCGTTCAAGACCTATACTCAGCCTGATCTATCTCTTGTTTCTTTACATCCTATGTTGTAATGGCACGTTGCGCATACAAGAAGAATACTATGCAAACCTTAAGCTGATGAAGTTGGAATACGTTCTGTACAAATTAATGATGTATCTCTTTATTGTGTCAGTGATAATAAAGATGTTACTAGGCTGGTGGTATACAAAGGTGAGCAAATAAAATAACGTTCGACAGCTTCTAAGCTCATTGTACTCTGTACATAAGATACAAACTGTGCAATACAATTGTAGAATAAAACTGCGTCTGTATAAATTATAATATTGCCTAATTATAAAGTGTCATTTGTAGAAATTCAAAGTCTGTCACAAAAAGATCTTCGAGATCGATGAAACGCTGCGACAGTTAGGATTGAGGGTGAATTATGAAAGAATATATTTCGCGACGATCGGAATCCTCACTGCCTGGATTACATTTACTCTTACTGTATGCACAGTGATTTTCATTCACTTGCAAATAAACACGGACATATTCACTGCAGTTTACCTAGTATTGGAGTTTACGTATTCGGTCACTGTCAATTCCATTAGTGTCTTCGAATTCAACATGTTTGCAAGGTGTGCATAATTAATTTATTGTGTAACTAATCCAGAAATTTGTGAACTTATTACGTGAATTCACTAATTAATATGTTCAAAATTAGTAGTTGCTATTGTATTGCTTAACGTAAGTTGTTACACACAATGTTATGTATAACGTTGAAGTTATATTAATTGTAATAATTTTCTTTGTTATTTTGGTTTACATTATTAAGCAATAGATTCTGCGTTATTGTACAAATAGAAGATACTGCATTAGAAATATCATTTATTTATGCTAGATATTAGATCTTTAAGCATTACACGTACATATTATAATATCTAAAGCTATTAAACAATGTTGTAGATATTTAAAAATGAAATTTGAGCTGGTCAACCAACTTTTGCGTGAGAGCTTAACAGATCCATCGATAAAAGAGATAAAATTGGGCATTTTTGAAATGAAAGATTTTTGCAAAATTATAACTGCCGAGCAACAAAAGCAAGTTCTTTCCACAAGGATGATACTTCGAAGGCGCCAACGGAAGCAATCTCGAAGAAATGTCTCTGTGTCAGACAAACAAGATCCGGGCATATCTCACGTTGAATCTCACTTTCCGTCCCAGGTCAAAGAACAATTGCCAAGCGTACCCCAGAATCCATCCGGAAGATACAGTTTCGCGGCAAAATGTCAGAGACGTAAACATCTATTACAAGTAATCAAGTGAGTACAAGCAATTAATAAGTACATTATTACGATGTAAACTCTATGAAACGAAAAAATATATAGAGCACATAGATAGATATAAAGTTGGCATTTTTCGTAAAAATCGATTCGAATTTCATTATCTGATTTCTTTTTGAGACAAAATTTTCGATTTCTTAAAAAATGAACAAGAGTTTTAAATAACAATTTTTCTGATTATCGTTTAATGTTTTTCAGACAGGTGCACCTGGAGCTGTGTAAAGTAACAAAAATAGTATGCACTATTCTCGGAGTACAGATAGCTTGGGAGATAGGAGTAATTATTATATTTCTCACCGGAGCTGTTTATAATTTTTACGTTCGATATGTTATCAACCAACACAGAAGTTTGGTCGGAGAAACATTTGTGTTGCTGACACTGTGTCTTATTCACATTATAAAAGTCATTTCCTTGATTTACGTCAGCAGGATTGCAGCCGAAGAGGTAATTCATGTCATCTATAATCGTCTAATTAAAGATCTTGATAAAATAACGCGCACAAAATATTTGCAGGGAAACAGAACCATCGAAATCATACGTGCGATTTATGATCGCGACACAGACGCTGACATGCAGGAAGAGGTTTGGCTGTTGCAATACATTAACACAATTGCTGTTATATTAATGTATAACGCCCACAATTGTTTCAGATACAACAGTTTGGCCTGCAAATTTTGCAAAGTCCAGTAACATTCTCAGTGTATGGTCTTACTCTGGACAATCGTGTCTTAAGCATGGTTTGTATCGAAATGTTACGTACGGTTGGTTCGCGTTTCAACGATTTTGAAATAAAACGTCAAAATTTATTAGAAAGTAATTAGAAAGACTCGATAATGTCCTTTTTACAGTTTTTATAAATTGCGTAGAAACTGTTATAATTCTATCCCAATTATATTATATGCACATCATATTTAACTTTTTTTTTCTTACAGGTTTTGAAAACTGTAACGATCTACATGGTTATTATGGCGCAAGTGAGCAATACGCTGGAATCAAACAATGCCATAAAATCTGCACAGTTTAAGGAATTGTAGATATTAATAAATAATTCATTTATTTCAATGGCGCTGTCCAGATCGAGTTTCATTCTCTGAATATCCTCATTCTCCACGATATTGTCCCTTAGTTTCTCCCTCCAAGAGGGAGATTCCTGCGTCTCTGCCAACGCCTTTATAGACCACCACAAATTTCTTGCTAAATTCTTTTCTCTTGCATACTCTGCATATGTCTCGTCTAAACAATTCTCCTTTTATCTAATTAAGCCGTACAATTTTTTTTTATTCTGTCAAAGATCAGCACTTAATAGATAACGCTGTCGTGTAAGTTTGCCCTTTATCAATTATTTAAAGAGATAAGTGGTAAAGAGAATAAATGGCAATAATAATACAAGTAAATGGTCACATGAAAGGATTTGTATTACGCGTATGTTTATTTCGCAAACAGTTAAAAAATCAATTAAAGGCAACCGGTGAAGTATAAAATTAAGCAATTTAGTAATTCGTTTGCTCCCATTACATCTTTTTTATAATTATCAGCTTCACAAGTGATATCAATTGTAATAAATAAGAATTTTGCTCTTTTCTCAATAATATTATGTAACACACTGCAAAATATTCTGCGTGATGCCCATAATTAAGAACGTTAATGCTTTGCGCCCAAATTTATAACGAGATTTCATAACGCGACACCTATCGTTTACTCACAAAGCAAGGTAGTTGAGTCTTAGTAGTTAGGTAAAGAAAACATTTTATAAATATTACAGAGAAATTTGACCGCACACTACGCACTCTGAGGTGTTTAATGACGTATAAATTAGTAATGAATCGTGAGTTTAAACTGTATGACATATTTGGCAAGAAATAAACAATGTGCAAAGTTCATTCGCAGTTCGCACGATTGTCTTTCATTTATCTTGGTCTCCTGACTTTCCTTCAGTTCGTATTCAACTATAGTATTTTCCAGTAATAGCTCACACAAGTTAACTATTAATAAAAAACTTTCCGCTGAGGAGTACAACAGTTTTCACGCAACAGTTGCAGCATTTGTGAGCAAAAAATATTTTTAGATTGTAAAGCCGTATATAACAATTGCATAGCGGTCCATTGGTTTATCTTCATTTCCCTTGTGTAGTGTCTATCTACTCAGCGAGCCGTGAGTAATTTTTTGCCAGCAATTTTCTCCCTTCATTACATACGCGTGTGATAATAGATCCCAGAATAGATCCCGGATGGTATCTTATGATCTTACGTTACTGATGATATTAAAGCAATAATATAAACGATCCCTGCGCGCACAACAAATTACTTATTGCTTCACAGGCAGAGTTGACTATAGATATGCGATAGCATCGAAAGCCATTGGGCAGGGCTCATTTACGATCATATATTTAACACATCCACGTTCTTCGTAACAATTTCTCATGAGCTCAAGTACAATTCTTTCGTTCATCAACAAAGGTGGATCATTGACAAGGACGGGAAAACAAGCGAGAGAAAACAGTGAATCGTGTCGGTGTCCGATCTAATAAAATTGTCAGTCATTCTCGCATAGATCTGGAAATATAGTACTTTGCGTAACATTCACACGTTAATCCGTTAGAAACGTAAAAAGAGATTAGAAGCAAGTGTGACCAATGCTGGAATTAATGCATATTTATGAATAACATTAAATCTATGAACGTCAACAATTTATTGGTCGAATGTCTGTCAAATACTGAACAGCGAGAGACCCGAAAATCAGTTAACGAGTTCGTCCAAGTCTGCCGAACAGTTGTATTTTCAGACGCAGTGTCACTGCGAAGGACATGAAAATCGAATAAAAACAGTAAGGAAGATACGTTTACATCGCTTCTCAATACTACACCGATCTGCTTTTGTACATCTCAGACGTTTGATAAGCCGAAGACTAAAAAAATAAAAATATTTTGCCCAAGTAAATAACAAAAATTGAGTAATATCAGAGGAATATCACAAAAGACAGAGATCTGACGAGATGAAGCTATTTACGAGTCCTAAGCAATTCTCTGAGGCGATAGCTTTGGTGACAACTGGCAGCCGTTTATTGGGACTTCGTGTTTTTGAATATCCTCGTGGTCATCCAAGACCTATGCTCAGTCTGATCTATCTCTTGTGTCTTTACATCATATTTTATAATGGCTGGTTACGTCTGCACGAAAAATACTATGTAAATATTAAACTGATGAAGCTGGAATTTGTCCTGTATAAATTATTGAAGAATATTATTATTGTATCTGTGTTAATGAAGATATTGCTAGGCTGGTGGCATACAAAGGTAAGTAATGTACAGTACTTATCTACATTGCACCGCGTTTATGTATACAACCGTGTACAAACCGTACAATACAATTTTAGAAGAAAACTATGCGTCTGTATAAATTATAAGTGTCTCATAATAAATTGACGTTTCTAGAAATTTAAAATTTGTCACAAAAAGATCTTCGAAATCGATGCAACATTGCGACAGCTGGGATTGACAGTGAGTTATGACAGAATATATTTCCTGACGATTGGAACCGCAGTTATTTGGCTTACATGCACCTTTATTGTGTGTACCCTGATTTTCTGTCACTTGCGGATCAACACTGACGTATTTATTTCAATGTACCTTTTATTGATATGTATGTACTCGTACACCGTCAACTCCATTAATATCTTCGAATTCTACATATTTGCGAGGTATGTAAATCGACTCTTTAAATAATTCTTATTTTTGTACTTACTACGTGTATTCGCGAATTAATATAAGACAAACTGATAGTCGCTATTGTATTTCTTAACATGACTAATTATACATAACGGTGACATTAATATTATATTAATGTGAGAATTAGAATTATGTGCCTAAAGGTCTATCTACATAAGACGCAGGACGCGGGTCGCAAGTCGCAAGATTAGACGCAGCGTGACGTATTTCCGGCCGCAACAAGCCGCAAGCTTCAATACGCAGGACGCACAGAAGTTGGGCGAATTTCAACTTTCGCGTCCTGCGTCGAAGCGACCAGCCAATCAGAACATATCTTGTCATATCGCGGCAACTGTCAAATATTCTCGTATATCGTAGGATCTCGTCGAGGCGAGAAATTGAGTTTTTTTGTAAATGGTATATAATTGGGATTCCGCAGCAACGCGGGATTTAATTTATAAAGTTAAAAAAAATTAAGAGAAGTTATGACATTTATGTTCTGATTGACATTTTATTCATTTTTCTTTTGACGCAGAGAGCTCGCTGCGTATCTATGTGGACTATATACTTAGACGCAAAAGTCTTACGACCTGCGACTTGCGTTCCGCGTTCTGCGACTTGCGACCCGCGTCCTGCGTCTTATGTAGATAGACCTTAACACTGTTTCGCTAAATTTTGTTTTACATTATTAAAATATGCGCCGATACATACTGATTTATTAGTCGTTTCACGAGGATAAGAGAAACTATAATTATAAATTTAAACTAGATATTAAATAAAATATTAGATATTGTACCAGATATTAACTTTCTATTGTAAAATACGTATCATAGCACTAGACTTTCTATTATACAATAATGCAGATGCTTGCAAATAAAACTTGGATTGATCAACAAATTCTTGAGCGACATCTTAACGGATTTATCGAAAGAAATGAAAGCGGGCCTTTTTCAAGATAAAAATGTTTGCAAAATCATAAACGTCAAGAACTATGAAAAACATGTTATTCCCACGAATATGATATTTCAATGGCGTCAGGCGACGCAGCCTCAAATAAATAATTCTATGTCAGAGAAGTGTGATCCGATCGTATTTCACATTGAACCTCACTTTCCTTCACAAGTCAAAGAAGAATTTCAAAACGTACTTCAGAATCATTCTCAAAGACGTAATAACTCCAAAATGACAAAAAGTCAGAAATGTACATTTTTATTGCAAGTAATCAAGTGAGTACAGGCAATTGTTAGGCATTATTACAAAGTGAATTTTATAAAATATATCTGATTATCTTTGAAATTTTTAAGACAGGTGCACCTGGAGTTGTGTAAAGTATCAAAAATAATATGCACTATTCTCGGAGTACAGGTAGCTTGGGAAATAGGAGTAATTATTATATTTCTCATTGAAACTTTTTATAAGTTTTACGTCGAATGCTTTATGAACGAACACAAAGTCGCAGATTTCGTGGGAGAAACATTTGTGAAGCTGGCATTATGTACTCTTTACACTACACAAATAGTTCTTTTAAGTTGCGTTTGCAAGAGCGCGGCCGAGGAGGTAATTTATTTCTCTTTTCTATTAACATCTAATAAAATATCTTGATAATATAACTCGTACACAATTCATCTATTTGTAGGGAAACAGAACCATCGAAATTATTCATACAATTTATGGTTGCAACGCAGATGTCGACTTGCGGGAGGAGGTTTGTTTCTTTAAAACGCATTAACATGATCGCTGTTATGTTAATGTGTTATATAATTATCGCCCGCAATCGTTTCAGATTCAGCAGTTTGGTATTCAAATTTTGCAACATCCCATGACATTCTCCGTGTTCGGTCTTACTCTGGATAATCAAGTCTTAAGCATGGTTTGTGTGAAATATATAGAGATAATTGTCGTTTTATTGTCAAATAAAATGACAAGGTTTATTTAATTATAAAGATACGACAATGTTCCTTTCACATGTTCTTTATAAAGTATACAGGGTGTCCTGAAATTCGCGAATCAAAATACCATAGCAAGAAAGTCGTCGAAAAAATAAATTAAAAAGTTATTTGCCATTTTTCGTTCCGAGCAGTAGTTTTTTTAGATAAAAAGGTTCAAAACAGACCAATCATACATTACGGTTGAACGGAAACTTGTCCGTGAGTCGCGCGTCGATAGTGTTAATGCACTAACACTATCGACGCGCGACTCACGGACAAGTTTCCGTTCAACCGTAATGTATGATTGGCCTGTTTTGAACCTTTTTATCTAAAAAAAACTACTGCTCGGAACGAAAAATGGCAAATAACTTTTTAATTTATTTTTTCGACGACTTTCTTGCTATGGTATTTTGATTC